TTCTGGATTATCAGTTAATCATTCTACACGGGTTGAAAAGTTTTCAGCGCGTTGAATGTCCACTTGGTGAGGATCCTCTGGATAAAATGAGAAAAGCTCTCGAAACTTTCCAGGTTGTATTTTAAGTTGAGGAATTTCCCACAAAACTCAAATCGACTAAATTGCAGGATTTCCTCCCGCAAGATAAAGCAGCGCAAATTGCTAAAATATGCACTATATTGGAAAATGCTGCAAAATGTAAACGCGATTTTCAGGTAGAAAGAACAAATGAAGAAGAAATCTCCTTTCCACTTAACTTCAATATATTTAAAGAACCCATTTAGATAAAGAAACGTGCCTGCATTCGACATCTACGCCGTTTTGATTCGCTCGAATACAAAGCTCTAGCTGAAAGTCGAGAAAACTTCAATCAGTGCGTATTTTCTCGCTTTATTCTGTAAATGCGACCTTTAAAAAGTGCTCAAGATATCAAAACACACATGAGTGATGTTTGCAACTTTTTAAGAGCAAGATCAGCAATGGATTTGGCTAAACACGAAGTGAAACAGGCAAAAACTACAGAGCAGATAGAGAGGCGGGCAGTATTGTATCAGCAACAAGTAGAACATTTCGATGAACAATGTAACAAGGTAGGATGAGATCAATCGATAAGCATACTTCGCACAACAATCAAATTAAGGTTATAAAATTGCTAGAAGAATTGCCAAGCATTAAAACAGCTCATTCTAAAGATCTCACGGAGTTAACACGTTGTAGCCGTGAATATCATCTTGCAATGCTTGCCTTATTCAAATAAAATTTTTATAATTTTTTAAGAGATAAATTTTCGAAAAAAAAAGTTTAGGACAAATGAAAATGCTGAAAACAATTTTCATTCAACAATAAAAAAATCGCTAATTATAGTATGAGATTATAAGATAGTAGAACAGTACATAAAACAGGATGACTTGCTTGTTACAACCAAAATAAGATCAAAGAGTGAAAAACAAGAACTGGTACTCTATCAAACACAATAGAAAGATCAAAAAGGCACATTTTATATGGCTGCTGACAATATGAACAAAGACGACGAATTACAGGACAAGTAATGCAAAAAAAGGAATGATTTTTTCAAACATAAGGGTGTCTAGATAGAGGTAAAAACTAGTCCCACTGGTAGAAATTGCAACAAAATCACAAATCTGTCTCAGCCCAAAATTTTGGAGCTAAACTCCAGTATAGGGAACGACTAAAGCATTGCTAGAGAAAAAAAAA